AGTTAGAAGCCTGGGAGGATTTCCTCAGTTGTCATGTGCATCTGCGAGGAAGTAGCCCTTTAAGGGTTCTATGAGCAGGCAAGGCTTGGGCTCCAACTCCAAGACGCTAGTTATTGCCTGCTATCAAAAGCGACTGGAGCATTTTGCTCGAATTTCATTTAACTTTAAAAAAAATTCGTTTCTGAGTGAGCACGTAGGTGATCTTACCCCATCGTTCTTCTACTTGGTCATTATGCCCTACTGGTATCTCCATCAGGTAATGTAAAACACACTCATAACCGATCACATATACTTAATTTCAGAATATTGCTCTTCTTCTTCACGAATATTGCGACTTTTGGGTACCTTCTGATGAAATCGCTCGTAGCCTCTCAAAATTCCGAATCACCTTCAAAGCCGTACATGAGGAGAACGAATATGAGGTAACCTGGCCCAATTGGCTTTTTTCCAGCCACTATCTGTTTGGTGTAGGTCTTGACGCTAACAGCCACAAGTACAGAAATGTTGACAAAACCTTTGTTAATGGAAGTTCATCAGCTCATTCCCGCTGATGTTCAACAGCCTGGAACAGATGCGGGTTAGAGTCCTATAGGAAGAATTTTTTTCTATGGTTCAGCTCTTGTGTTATAATTCCACCAGGCTTCCTCTTTTAACAACCAGACATGGCAATTGCCGTCATTTTCGTTCATGCATTTGAGACAGCTATGCTGTTTGTTTGTTTGTTTGCTTTTGTTATGTTTTATGTCTGTCTATTTCAGTACAGCGGCGACCCTCGTAACTATTCATATCTCAAAGACTGGATCAGCGATAAATGCATTCCAATAGTTCGGTGAGAAACATTTAGCAATTTGTTGGTTTTTCAAAAGTTTCCTATTTTTGCTCCTTCAATATGGCAGAATTTTCAAGTGTGCTTCAACACTAATACGAGTCATATGGCACTTTTCGCTGACGGAAAATCGTTCGACGTAGGAGAGAAGCTGAACATCCACTGCCCATATATGCTTGCTTTATCATAAACCTAATAAGGAGATACGAATCACTCCTTGCACATCTTTCTGCATTTCAACGATGAATTGAACCACATTCTTCATTTCCTAACGAAAATTTCCTCTTTTCACCCACAAGACGTCGCAATCAAATAAGAGGTCTGGATCTTGATCTGAAGAAGATACTGCTTTGGGCAGAAGATCATCGCATGAATACTGTCCGAGCCTTTTGAAGGAAGTGATCAAGGTGATCCCATGGGGATGAATGGGGAACTTATATAGTGGATTGGGTAGGGAACTACCCAGTGAGTCGACGGTTCAGGGGATGGGCGCCATACCAATGGACTGACAAGGCGCTGGAACCCACTTGCGGTATCTAGCATCACCTGCGTATAGGACGTGAAGGAGTTGCAATGGCATCATGCCAGATATGATAGCCCTATCATTATCGTCCGATTTTCATTCTGGAGTGCCGCTCGTTCCAAGCGGCCGTATCATCTAATATTATCGAATCCTATCATACAC